CCAATTTAATACTTTAAAATATATAATCCTACTTGTGCCGCAATTTACAGACCGCCAAATGACGGCTACAGTGGCTACAAGCTTATGGCACAAATAGGATTTCTGCGTTGCTAGATAAGGAAAAGTCCGCCCTCATGTTAGTAAACAGACTTAATCCGCAAAACCCCCTTTTTTGACCACAAACCTCGCAGTTCAGATGGTCTTTTGCCAAAAGGCTAAAGGTGGGGGGAACGAGAGATGTGCACATCCATATCCGATAACTAGACTCATCTCTGTCAGGCATTAAATATTTGGTCAGGGGCATTTTGTTATCCATATTCGTTACTAAATTGATTCTGCGGAAAACTGTTCGTGTCGAATTCGCACAGGAGCACGCGCCGACCGGCCTGGCTGGCTAGCACTAAACAGCGAACTAAGAGTATACACCACATGTGCTAACTTTCAGCCTAATTTCTAAAAGGTTATCTTCATTGGAAAAAACTGGGTTATAATATTAATCGTCGTCACAAGATAGTTCATGCACGTCAAGATGCCGTCTACTGAATGAGCTTTTTTCCCGGCTACTTGCAAAAACTACACACCATACACAGTCCTGATTAGAGATGAAAGCAAAGGAAGGTTATCTCACCAAATTGGCTTTTTACGCGCTTTCTTCTGTCCGGGTTTCTTTCGTTCACTGAAACGGTCGTCTTGGGTGAGAAGGCCGGCGGCACGGAGGCGGTTGGCTCCGAGATCTCCTGGCAGGAAGCAGGCCAATGCCCTTGCAATGGCCAATCGGAGGGCATTGGCCTTGGAACTAGAGCCGGTCTCGGTGTCGGCAATCTTGGCAGTAACATCCACGGCGCCCAGCATACCTGGAAGGAAGGAGAAAAGGATGTATACGGTTTGCGAAGAAAGACAGACAGACACGACTATCTCGGCGGAGTCCTGGGGTCTCCAAAGAGCTACATGCGCAATTCCTACGATTGTAGTCGAGTTCAGTTCAGGCAACGGTAAAGACTCTTTATATGGAACAGTCTGTACCTTACTGTGTATAACTACCTACATAGTTCATTATAGAAAGCATGCTCTGTTTCATGTTTTCATATAATCGTGGATTGCACTGTTCTTTGCATTATGGGTAAGGCTCTCTTGTGAGGCCGCCCGAAAATAGATTCTTCCCGCCCAAGTGTCTCACGGAATTCGTGATTAAGGGTTTAATTCTTGATTAATGAACAGGTAATGCGCGATAAATGCATAGTAGAAAACAAATTAAATCCTCCTGTAATTATTTTACTTAAACAAAATCGTAGGTAAAAAGGAAGCCTGCAGCCCCAAAAACTGTTGCTTGATAAAAAAAAACACATCTAGACCAAAAGAGCTATTAGAGCAAATACGAGCGAACATGCGAGTTCCAGGAAGTAATTGAGAGGAAGACGACTCGATCGATCCCTTGAATTTGCTGCAGTTTGTTGCCATTGACTTTTTTTACAACTGGGTTCGAAGAAGGTGAATCTTGTTCCACAAAGAGACGCTTCGAAAACCTTGACACACACACTCTGAACCTCTTAGACAAGTTTTTAAAATGCTACCAAGTGTGTTAAAAATTTTGCAACAAGAAACAATCCATTGCGATAGGAAAAACGTCCTCGGTTTACTTGTCCTATTGTTTTCAATAAAAACGAGTGATTTGCCGGGTACTTTATTGATGAGAAATCGTCAAAAGAAAGAGTCTTTCGGTGCCCGCCTGCGAGACACCAAGGCACGGTGCAATTATCCCGAATTCTGTCAAGACGTTTAACTAAAAAGCTTGGTGACCGTCTGGACTTATTTCAAACCACGGAGGCCAACATCTGTGGTTTCGTTTGCGACTGATTTGCAAACCCGCAGTCACAGTTTACAATGCTCGTGTTCGTTTTGGGCAGGGCAGACGAGAGTACTCCCTGGGAGGCTCCTTTTCATGATAGTAAAGGAATAAGAGCAGCAGAGGCACTGTTAATCAGTACGGGGAAAAGGATAAAAGCATGCGTCTTAAAGCAGACTAGAGAAAATAGGGAAACCCTTATGACAAGACAACGCGTAGTTGGGTAGAGTCTGCAGCATAAAGACGACTCGATTCTACCCGATAACACGCGTTCTGACCAAGGAGTCCTCCCTAGTTGTCATGCTCTACCTGTAGAAATGTTCTGATGGATAACCTGCGTGTTACGTGCTCGTTCCGCTGCATTTTGGAGCTAAAAATAGGGCCTTTGTAGGCAGTCGCATAGAAGCCAGTAACAATGCAGAAAGGAGTGACATCACTTAGAAAGACAGAGGAAACTGGAATAGCCGTTTCTCGCTTAATAGTCATCACCAGCCATTTATACCTAACACCAGGTATTGTGGCGTCTGAAGTTCGAAGCCGCGACCTGTTGGGCAGGAGTCCAACTTTCTACCCCTCAGATGCCGCAATACCTGGGCCTGGTTATGGCTGGCTGATGACGAATGATAAACCAGAAGTGGCCCATTCTGCTTCCATTGTTTTCTTCCCTTCTGCTGCCCCATAGAAAATGGGACGAAGGAGTCTCGTAACCGGTCGGTGAGCACCTACCTACCATTGCAGAAAGGACCATCAACAAAGGCAACGGGGAGTCGGACTACTATTCCAAACAGTCAACAGCCAATCCTATGTTTGGATAGCATGGGACTCGAACACTGACCCTCTGGTCACTAAGAGTTCAGTCTAATGCTTTCCCATTAAGCCACGGGCGCGTTGTACCGTCTGTTGCGATGGAGGAAAATACATTACCGTGGGAGGGTCATTCACTGAGCAATTTACAGTAGTCGCCGGTTATTAAGCCCACCTCGGGCCCAGACCAAATTGG